GCAAAGGCACGGGGTGTAAAGAATGTGTGTATACGTGTGTCCTATGCAGAGGGTGGTGGTGAAAGCCTGAGCAACGTCTGGTGTGACCTCATGGATTCCTGACTTCCATTCCATACCAGATAATGAGCCCAAGCCAGTCAGCAGCTGTCCCCTGGCAATTGTTACTAGTTCAAGAGTAGACACACCAAAGACATTAGCTAAACAGTCTAATGGGAAAGATTTCTATCTCATACCTGCCATCACCCAGTAGCTGCTGACAGCCATTGTGGAATCATGAGGACCATCCCAAGGGCAAAGTACCCCTCCAAGGAGGAGGCCGAGCAGAGCCATGGACAGGGCCTGGGTCCTTGGTGACATCATTGAGCTTCTGAATCAACCAACCTCAGAGCCTGCCCCCTACCTCTGGCTCTTTGTTATGTGAGATATTTCCTATTTATTTATTTATTTATTTATGAAACAGGATCTCATTCTGTTGCCCAGATTGGAGTGCAGTGGTAAGATCATAGCTCCCTGCAGCCTCCATCACCCAGGCTCAAGCGATCCTCCCGCTTCAGTATCTGGAGTAGCTGGGACTATAGGTGCATGCCACTAATTTTTGTATTTTTTGTATAGATAGGATTGTCCTGTGTTGTCCATACTGATCTGGAACTTCTGGGCTCAAGAGATCCTCTCACCTTGGCCTCCCAAAGTGCTGAGATTACAGGTATGAACCACCACACTCGGCCTTATTTTTCTTAGAGAGATTATCTGTTACTTGTAATAAAAAGCATTCCAATAGATTCAGTATCTCAAAATATCCAACCACGCCTGAACTCCAGACCTGTGACACCAGCTGCCTGGCATCCCTTCATCCCTTCCCCTTGGATGTTCCAGAGCATCTCATCCTCAGTGAGTCTAAAACTGACTTTGTTGTCTTGGGTTCCCACTTTCCCCATTTCACTTCAGTCTTCCTTTTTTTTTTAGAGCTAGAGTCTCCTGATGTTGTCCAGGCTGGTATTGAACTTGGCTTCAAGCAGTCCTCTGACCTCAGCCTCTCGAGTAGCTGGGATTACAGTCGAGAGCCACTGCATCCAGCTTTGCTCTTTCTTTGAAAGGTACCATCATCTAGCTGCCTGGTTGTTCAAGCAAAAACGTGGGTCATTGTTACTATTCCTTTTCCGCACACTGCCAATCAATCCTAGAAACTGCAGATTCCACCCTCCAGTATTTCTCAAACCCACCTCTGGTGACCATACCCATCATCATCTCTTGTATTTTTCACTGAAAAAGCCTCTGACCTGATCTCCCATCTCCTTCCAATTCTTTCTGCATATTTCAGCAAGAGTGATCTTCCTAAAATGCAGATCTGAATCACCCTCCTTATTAAAACTTTTAAGTTTCTTTCCCTTTTTCTTAGGATAAATTCCAGGCCGGATGTGATGGCTCACACCTGTTATCCCAACACTTTGGGAGGCCGAGGTGGGAGGATTGCTTGAGGCCAGGAGTTTGAGACTAGCCTGGGCAACATAGCAAGACCCTGTATCTACAAAACAATTTTAAAAATTAACTGGGTGTGGTGGCATGCGCCTGTAGTCCCAGTTACTGGGGAGGCTGAGGCAGGAGGATCACTTCAGCCCATGAGTTGGAAGCTGAAGTGAGTTATGATAGTGCCACTGCACTTCAGCCTAGTGTCAGAGAGAGACCCTGTCTTTAAATTAAAAAAAAAGAAAGAAAGAAAAGAAAATCCAGGTGCAGTGGCTTATGCCTGTAATCCCAGCGCTTTGGGAAGCCAAGGTGTGTGGATCACCTGAGGTTGGGAAAAATTAGCCGGGTGTGGTGGCACGCGCCTGTAGTCCCAGCTACTTGGGAGGCTGAGGGAAGAGAATCGCTTGAACCTGGGAGGTGAGATCTCACCACTGCACTCCAGCCTGGGCAACACAGTGAGACTCTGCCTCAAACAAATACATAAATAAATATATTAATTAATTAATTAAAAACCAAAAACCTGACTGCTTTAACATGGCTTATCAAGCCCTCCATGGCTGGGCCCTTATTCATCTTTCCAGCATCAATGCTGTTCCTTCCATTCTAGCCTTCACTCCATCATTATAAAACTGCTTTTAGTTTCCAAATTCGCTGTCTTACCTCCTGGCTCATTTCTCTACCTAGAAAGTCCTTCTCTCCTTGCTTCACCTGACTAATTCCTGCTCATTCTTCAGTGCTTAGTGTGATGTCACCTCCTGTGGGAAGCCACCCCTCCTGCCTAAGCCTGGCTTAGGTGCTTATCTTCATAGTAACATCACTATGTGCTTATTATCCCAGACAGCACTCCTTATGAGGTTGAAATTGTCTGCTTATGCTGCCTATCTCCCCCATCCCAAACTGTAAATTCCTTGAGATCAGGGACTCTGGCTTATTCCTTGCACCTAGCACCATAGCTGAGTGAAGAAGATCATCTTAAATTCAGATGTGAATTTTGACTTGAAGGCAAGGGTAGGATGGAATGGAGGAATGGAGCTGGAATGGAAGACAGCATGGGTGTTTCTTTTTTTTTTTCTTTTTTTCTTTTTGTGGAGACAGGTTCTTACTTTATTACCCTGGCTGAAGTGCAGTGGCACTTTTCTTGGCTCACTGCAACCACGACCTGGGCTTAAGTGATCCTCCTACCTCGGCTTCCCAAGTAGCTGGGACCACAGGCTCATGCCACTATGCCCAGCTAATATTTTAATTTTTGTAGAAATGGGGTCTCTCTGTGTTGCTGAGGCTGGTATCGAACTCCTGGCATCAAACCATGCTCCCACCTTGGCCACCCAAAGTGCTGGGATTACAGGCATGAGTCACCACACCTGGTGATACACCAGGAAATAGACATTTTCAAGCAGGGGCAGGGATGGTGATAGCATAATCTGATTTACTAAGGGTATTGAATAGATTTGGGCAGGTGGCAGAGCAGGCCAGGAGAAGGAAACCATTGATAATGTAGATAATGTGACCCAGGCAAGATATGATGGTGGCCTGGACTAAGATGTTGGTAATGGGGACGGGGAGAACCAGACAGACTTGAAAGAGAGTTAAGAAGTAGACTTCATACCAGGCACAGTGGCTCACGCCTATAATCCCAGCATTTTGGGAGGCTGAGGTGGGAGGATCACTTGAGCCCAGGAGTTTGAGACCAGCCTGAGCAACATAGAGAGGCCCTATCTCTACAAAAAATGGAAAAGCCGGGCGCGGTGGCTCAAGCCTGTAATCCCAGCACTTTGGGAGGCCGAGACAGGCGGATCACGAGGTCAGGAGATCGAGACCATCCTGGCTAACACGGTGAAACCCCGTCTCTACTAAAAAATACAAAAAACTAGCCGGGCGAGGTGGCTGGCGCCTGTAGTCCCAGCTACTCGGGAGGCTGAGGCAGGAGAATAGCGTAAACCCGGGAGGCGGAGCTTGCAGTGAGCTGAGATCCGGCCACTGCACTCCAGTCTGGGCGACAGAGCGAGACTCCGTCTAAAAAAAAAAAAAAAAAAAGGAAAAATTTGCCATGAGTGGTGGCATGTTTCTGTGGTCCCAGCTACTCAAGAGGCTGAAGTGGGAGGATCACTTGAGCCCAGAAGGTCAAGGCTGCAGTGAGCTATGATTGTGCCACTGCACTCCAGCCTGGGTGGCAGAATGAGACTGTCTCAAAAAAAAAAAAAAAAAAAAAAAGCCTAACATGATGTCTCATGCCTGTAATCCTAGCATTACTTTGGCCAGCTGAGGCAGGAGGATCATTTGAACCCAGGAGTTTAATACAAGCCTGGGCAACATAGCGAGATCCCAACTCATGAAGCAAATTTAAAAATTATTTTTGGCCGGGTGCAGTGGCTCATGCCTGTAATCCCAGCACTTTGGGAGGCCGAGGTGGGTGAATCACTTGAGGTCAGGGGTTTGAGACCAGCCTGACCAACATGGTGAAACCTCGTCTCTACTAAAAAGAAATACAAAATTAGCTGGGCATGGTGGTGCACACCTGTAATCTCAGCTACTTGGGAGACTGAGGCAGGAGAATTGCTTGAACCCAGGAGGTGGAGGTTGCAGTGAGTGGAGACTGCGCCACTGCACTCCAGCCTGGGCAACAAGAGCAAAACTCCATCTCAATAAATAAATAAATAAATAATTTTTATATATTAATTTTTTTTTGAGACAGAGTCTCACTCTGTTGCCCAGGCTGGAATGCAGTGGTGCGGTCTCAGCTCATTGCAACCTCTGCCTCCTGGGTTCAATTGATTCTTCTGCCTCAGCCTCCCAAGTAGCTGGGACTACAGGCGTGGGCCACTATGCCCGGCTATTTTTTTTTTTTTTTTTTTTTTTGAGCTCTGTCACCCAGGCTGGAGTGCAGTGGTGCGATCTCAGCTCACTGCAAGCTCGGCCTCCCGGGTTCACTCCATTCTCCTGCCTCAGCCTCCCGAGTAGCTGGGACTACAGGTGCCCACCACCACGCCTGGCTATTTTTTTTTAAGTAGAAACGGGGTTTCACCGTGTTACCCAGGATGGTGTCGATCTCCTGACCTCGTGATCCACCTGCCTCGTCCTCGCAAAGTGCTGGGATTACAGATGTGAGCCACCTTGCCTGGCCTATTAAAATTTTTTAAGTAGCAAAAGAAGTAGACTTCACAGAATTGGGAGTCAGGTGAAGAAAAGGAGGGTGCATAAGTTGAGCTGAATTCTAACTTGGGCACTAGGTGTCTTAGTGGTGCCTTCTTCTCGGGCGGGGAATCTAGAGGAAGAGCATGATTGCAGAGGGAGGTGAGGAGCTCTGTTTGGGACAGATTGAGTTTGAGTGGCCTGTGAGGCACCCAGCAGGTGGCTGAGCCTTCTAGGCTGCAGGTGAGGAACAAAAGCTGAGAAGGAATGGACAGAGATAGAAAACCTAGAAGGGTATATTGATGCCAAGAGAGTGACAGCCAGAAAAGAAATGACTCAAGGAAAAGGGAGAACACCGCTGAGGCTCCTCCCCTCAGGCACCCCCCACACACTTCCACAGACACAAATGCACTGGAGAGTTTTCTCTTGACATATTTTATTTGGTTCAAACGTGAAACTCAGACCCTGGCTCACCCACGTCTCATCGTGGCTGGAGTAGATTTGTCCTGGGGGGGGGGGGATCATTGGCTTCTTATCGGGACATGAAAAGGGGAGCACATAGGTCACATCAAGTGTCAGGGCAGGGAGAGGCTCAGCGACTGCTGGCCGGGTAGGGCTTGGCCATAAGCCAGGAAAGGGATGCCTGGTACCACCTTTTAGACACATGCAGTGGAAGAGGAGACAATTCAGGAGTTGTGTTAGGGTTTGGGCTTAGAGCAGGCCTAGGGCAGAGTCAAGGCTCTGAACCAAGGGGTTCAGTAACTGTGGGCAGAAGACTTGTCCAGCTCACTGCGCTGCTCCTTCTGGGACTCTGTCACCACCTGCTGGGGACAGGGCACATGATGGGCACAAGCCATTCAGCGCCACCCTCCATCCTACTCCTTTGGATCATAGAGCCCCACTCCTTGGGGTAACCAGCAGAGACTCCTGTTTATCTATCCATGTTCTCTGTCTCCTCCTCTGTCTCTCCCCAAGAATTACCCACCCTATGTAAGATTAGCGACAGCCAGGCTGGGACTGAGAAACAATATGGGAAATGGTGGGGTCCTGGGATTAGGGGCCATGCCTCACCTCCCCATTCCGGGTCTCAATGGTCTTGATCAGAACCGTCTTCCGGCTGTGGCTGTCCTGGGGAGGCTCCACCTCAGGCACTGGAGAAAGTAGGATGAAGGATTCAAGGGGTAAGGCTTGGGAATATCTCCTCTTAGGCTCCCACTGCTATATCTGAGGGCAGGGGAGGGGCGGGGTGTGAGGAGTAGGGGTGGGTATAGGCCAAGACCCAGAAATTCCGTGAGGAGAACAGATCCCTGAGGTGAGTCAGAGCAGGAGCCCGAGGAGCGCAGAAGTGGACAAGGAGAGGTACAGGCTGCAAGGCAGACTCACCAGTCGTCTTTATACTTAAGGAGGCAAAAGAATGGACGGGCACGGAGATCCTGGAGGCGAAGCAAGCTGTCAGAGCCCCTGCCCAGGCCCCGCCCCTCCCCGCCCAGTCCCGACCCCTCCCTGCCCCGCCCCAGCAGCCCCACCCTCACCGGCTCTCCTCGCCCTCCAGCAGCTTGCGGTAGGTGGCGATCTCGATGTCCAGGGCCATCTTGACGTTGAGGAGCTCCTGGTACTCCCGCAGGTGCCGCGCCATCTCCTCCTTTAGCTGTCGCAGCTCCTCCTCGAGCCGCGCGGCGCCCGCCTGGTAGCCCCCCGCCTCCAGGGCGAACTGCTCCTCCAGCTCTCTCAACTGCCTGAGCAGCGCCTCGTTCTGGGGTAGGGGAGTGGAAAGGGCCAGTTGCGGAACATTTCATCGTCCGCTCCGCGGGCCAGGGCGCGCAGCTTCGTACTCACCGTGCCGCGCAGCCCGTCCACCTCGCATGTCAGACTCTGGATCTGGCGTCGGGACTCGTTCATCTCCTGCTTGGCCTGGCGCAGGGCCTCGTGGTTCCGGTTGGCGGCGTCGGACAGGTCCGCGTACTGCGAAGTGGGGGTAACCCAGGCTTGAGTCGGCTGGGAAGCGCGACACCACGCCAGCGCCCCGCCTCGCAGGCCCTCCCGGCTCTCGCACCTTGGACTTGTACCATTCCTCCGCCTCCTGCAGGTTCTTCGCGGCAATGCTCTCGTACTGCGCGCGGATGTCCCTCAGCGCTGCCGTCAGCTCCGGCTTCACCGTGGCTTCCACCTCCACCTGCTGCACCTGCTGGCTCTCCACACTCACCTGCAGGTCTCGCAGCTCCTACGGCCGGGAGCAGGCAGAGGATGGACAGTGGCGCAAATCCCACGCGGGCCACGCAGTTCGTGCACAGAAAAGAGAAGAAACGCTTGAACGAACAGAAGGGGGCGCCAGGGAGGGCGGGGCGTACAGCCCTGCGCCCCCGCGGGCGCGAGACCAGAGGCCAGGTTTCGGAGATACAGCCCCGCTGCCCGCCGCCAGGTGGCGCAAGGGTGGGAGTCTAACCACCTGTAGACTGGGGTGGAGGGGCTCCGTCTACCCAGCATCATCCTGATCCCCAGGGCGATGCCTCCGCTCCGCCTGCCAGCTCCAGCAAGACCACCCCACAACCTCAGAAGCCGCCCCTGATACTGGGCCCACTTACCTCCTCGTGCAGCTTCTTGAGGAACTCAATCTCATCCATCAGAGACTCAATCTTGCGCTCTAGTTCCAGGCGGGACAGAGTGGCGTCGTCCACGTCCTTCGAGGGGTAGCAGTGGAGGTTCAAGAGAAGTTAGGGGCTGCGTAGGCCGAGGAAGGACCAGACCTCCCTGTCTGCCTCGGGAGGCGTCTGGTTGCCCCTTTCTCCCCGCGCCCACCGATGCCACCTCTGGATACTGAGGTCGGGGGTTGGGGTGGGGAGGCTGAACTCGGAGAGGGGCTCGGACTCACCTTGCGGAAGAGCACGAGGTTGTGCTCCGCGTCCTCCCGCTTGCGCGTTTCCTCCTCCAACCTGACGGGAAGAGCGTGCAGAGGCTGAACTGCTGGGTCGCCGCCCAGCTGGCACCCCAGACCGCGCGCCCCCCCGGGATCTGGTTAGAGGCTGTTGTTGCTGCCCAGGACTCTAAATGGAGGACTGAGGCTGCCTGATAAAATTGCCCCGCTTTCTCTCTAACGGACTGGGAGCTGAAAAGGGGGTTCCGTCATTAACTCAGGAGAGGCACAGATACCCACTTCTCCCAGCTCCCCAGACACTCAGAGCAAAGTGGGAGGCGAGGGGGACTTGGAGTCCGTGGGCAAGGATGCTGCCTGCACACACCTGGGTTGGTAAGGGGAGCCACACCCTTGGGCTGCTGATGGAGAGGGGAAGCGAGGGGAGGGAAAAGCAGCCGCCTCGACGGCCGCTTCGACCTCGCCTCGACGGCCGCGGTCCAGCCCTGCCCCCTGACCTCTGCTTGAGCGCCGCCAGGTCCTCCGCCAGCCCGTCGCGCTCCACCTGCACCCGGTCACGCTCGCGGCCCAACAGCTCCAGCTCTCGCCGCAGCTCGCGCAACTCCTGCTGGCACAGCTGGTCCGCACGCGCCGGCTCCTGGCCCCGGGCTTGGCTCAGCTCCCCGCGCAGGGCCGCGTTCTGCTGCTCCAGAAAGCGCACCTTTTCGATGAAGTTGGCGAAGCGGTCGTTGAGCTCCTGCAGCTCCTGCTTTTCGTTGCTGCGCGTGGCCAGGAACTCCTGGTTGAGGGCCTCGGCCATGGAGAAGTCGAGGCGCTCCGAGGGCAGGCGCAGGAGGGCGCCCGCTCCCGCCCGGGGGCTACGGAAGCTGCCCAGGCGCACCGAGGAGCTCGGGGAAGCAGAGCCCAGCAGGCGGCTGCTGGAGAAGCGGGAGCTGGACGAGTAGGAGAAGGCCCCGGGGGATAGTGAGGGCGGTGGCCCGAAGGTGCGGCGGTATGAGGTGGAGCTGAAGCCGGCCCGAAGGCCCGATGGGTGGTGGCTCATTGCGGCCGAGGATGGGCAGTCACCGTTGGCAGAGCTAGGCCAGGGGCTGGGAAGGAGCCGCAGACCGCTGCGAGGCGGCTTTATAGCCCTGCGGTCTCAGGGGGGGCACGGGCAGCTCCTCCTACTGGCCTGATGGCCCGCTGGAGGGGGGTTGTATGGGGAGGGGGATGCCCCACCCCTGCGGAACAGCAGGAGCGCCTTCCCCTCCCTTCCCTGGTTGCAGGCCTCTGCCCACTTGATTGCCCCCTGTTGCGGCTGGAGTGGGGGTCACTACCTCCCAACAAGCACCCAAAGCTACAACCTAGGGTAGGAAGGCCTGATTTAAACTAGGGTCCCTGAAAATTGCGAGGTAGAAGGACCTGAAGTTAAAGGGCAGGCTTCTGGCACAGGAGTAGGGAGGAGGCCAGCTGGAGGGAGAGGTGACCTGGCTTAAGCCCCGTAGCTGGTGCCTTGACTTGCCCCCTGAAGGCCAGGCTCTACTTTCACCTGCTGTCAGCTACCCCTCCTTCACCACAGCCAGAGAGGAATAGGAGACAGGGGCGCAGAGGCAGATCGGGCTGGGGAAGAGCTACTCTCCCTAATCCCCAGGGCCCTGTGAAGGGCTGGTGCCTGGCGCCAGCTCTGCTGCTAATGGGCTGACCAGCCCTGCTTCCCCTCCCCCTCCCCTGAACACTACCCAGCAGAGGTTGTCTGCTGATGTTTCAGCCTTAAAGACACAGCCCCCAAACCTAGACATACCCCCCAAGAAGCCCCAATGAGGTGGGTACATCATAGGGGGCTGAGGGTGGCTGGACCCAGCTCTGGATCCCATGCAGGAGGGTCTGCCCCATGCCACGGGCTGGGCTGAGTGGGCCTTTTGTATTCTGTCTGGGTTTACTGGATTCTCCCTCCCCCCAACCCCACACCAATTGCTGCTCAGTCATGGGCTTTACGGGAACCAGAGTGATTCCTGAGGTAGGAAGGGGAGGGGGCTGAGGGTGCTGCCAAGGCTAAGAGATGGATGGACTGGCAGGAGCTGGTTTCCAGTATTGATGAGTTGCAGGTACCAGGGATGGGTGGGGCTGGATGGGGAAGAGATGGGGAAAGAGAAGGTGCCCATCCCCAGCTGTCTGAAAGAGAGAAGGCCCCAAAACAGGTCCACAAACCTGCGCACGCAAACGGATGCATACACACAGCCTTGTATATGTGCACACACATTACATACACACAAATACACACACAATCACACACCCCACCACACCTCCCCTACCCCAGAGTTAGCGGGAAGGCTGATATCTGGCCTTTGTATGTCAAACAGCTTCCAGAATGCAAGCACAACCTGCCCAGGAGTGGACAGAGGCAGTTCGGATCATCTGCAGGAGCCGGGTTGCTGAGGTCTGCTGGGTTTGCCAGGAACCATAGGGCTGGGGATGCTGCTGCTGCCGGGGACTCCAGCACTCTCTTGTGAGACAGGTCTGCCTCAGATGGGACCTGAGGACAAGAGAGTGCATCTGGGGAAGCAGATTTGAGGCTCCTGCCTGGATATCTGGCCGGGGGTGAGGAGGGCGGCTCCCTGGCTGGCCAGCTCGTCAGTATTGCAGGGCAGTGTCCCCCTCCCCCCTCTGTGTGTCCTCTGAGATGGGCCAGGGCCAACGCCCTACTCACGTCCCTACCGCCTTCGTCTCCTCTCCAGGCCCCTCCTTCCTTCCGGGCCATTAGTCTCTCCCTGCACAGCTGCCAGTTCCTTCTCCTTGATGGGTCTGGTTTGGTTGCCAGGGGAGTGGGAAGCGGGAGGAAGGGAGAGATGGGACAGGATGGATAAATGACAGCTTGTCCTCCCCCAATTCCTGGGAATGGGTAGGGGTAGGGTCCCACCTGGGATAGGGCCAGAAGGCTTGGTGGGTGTGAGGAGGGGGCTAGGGAAGCCTTGGTGCTTCCTGCCACAGTACTGGGCACTGAGCCCCAGCTGCCATTGGCCTGGAGCCCCATCTATCCCAGATTTGGCCCCACCCTCCAGGAGCAGGGAGCCAGCGCTGCACCCGGAGAGGCGGGCAAGGCCTGGGGAGGACCAGCTCAGGCCCTGTCTACAGGGCGCTTGTGGGGAACCCAAGCCTACTGAGAGTAGAGGCTGCTGGGGCTGCGGCTGGGTCTGGGGCGTTCCAGATGGAGGTCCTGTCCTCACCCTGCTTAAGCGCTCTGCTGGCCACCTACATGCCTCGGAGAAGGGACAGAGGGCTGCCACAGCTGGGCTCTGGAGCTGTGGATCAGGCCTGGGTGAGGAACTGCAAGGCAGAAGAGGCTCCTCCCCTCAAGCAGAAGGAGCAGGCCAGAGACACCAGGCGGAGCAAAGGTAGGCAAAGAGTCTGGCTTAAGAGCTGGGCTCTGGCATCCAGCCGCCACACTTCCCATCTGATCCACAACTCTGTGTTGTAGAATTTAGGCTCATCGCTATGTCCCTTCATGTCCCTCAAGAAAAGGGAGATAACTGTAGCTTCTACCTCATAGTGTTGTTGGGAGGACTAAAGGAATAAATAAATACGTGTGAAGTGCTTAGGACACACATCTTAAAGCCTGAAAATGGAAACTGGTTTTATTATTACTATTATTATTATTAACCTCCAGAGTGATAACGTCAGCCCCAAGAGCAGTGAGGGTCTGGCCTTCTTCTGGACTGTGCCCCTGGTAGCTGAGAGCAGTGCAGGACACAAGGCAGAAGAAGCCAAGTCGTCCCTGGCCTCACCCTCCCCTGGTGGACGGGGACTCTGGGCAAACGGCGCAGGTTCAATCATGGCTGCACACCTTAATTAGCTATGTGCTTTGGGTTTTCTGAGTGACTTAACCTTTGTTCACCCCATTTTTTTTTCCGAGATGGAGTCTCGCTCTGTCGCCCAGGCTGGAGTGCAGTGGTGCAATCTCGGCTCACTGCAAGCTCCGCCTCCCAGCTTCATGCCATTCTCCTGCCTCAGCCTCCCGAGTAGCTGGGACTACAGGCGCCCACCACCACACCCAGCTGATTTTTTTGTATTTTTAGTAGAGGCGGCGTTTCACCGTGTTAGCCAGGATGGTCTCGATCTCCTGACCTTGTGATCTGCCCATCTTGGCCTCCCAAAGTGCTGGGATTACAGGCGTGAGCCACCACGCTGGGCCACCCCATTTTCTTTATCCACAAATGGGAATGATAATAACAATACTTACCTCATGGTGTTGGGAGGATTAAGCAAGTTACCCTCTGTAAAGCACTTAGTGCTTGGCACCTAGTACGTGCTGTAGAAGTATTTGCCAGTATTCTCATCCCCCCTTCTCCTCCTGCCTCCCTTGGCTGCCCTGATGAAGACTGGAAGAGAAACAACGATTGCATGTGTTCAGGGGTTTGCAGGGAAGGTGAGTAATGAAGTTTAGGTTACTGGCAAGAGTTCTATTTTTTTATTTTATTATTATTATTATTATTATTATTATTTTGAGAGATAGTCTTGCTCTGTCACCCAGGCTGGAGTGCAGTGGCTTGATCTCAGCCCACTGCAACCTCCGCCTCCTGGGTTCAAGCGATTCTCCTGCCTCAGTCTCCCTAGTAGTTGGGATTACAGGTGCCCGCCACCATGCCTGGCTAATTTTTGTACTTTAGTAGAGATGGCGTTGCACTATGTAAGTCAAGCTGGTCTTGAACTCCTGACCTCAAATGGTCCGCCTGCCTCGGCCTCCCAAAGTGCTGGGATTACAGGTGTGAGCCACCATGCCCGGCCAAGAGTGCTATTAAATGTCAGGCCACGGACTCAGAGCTGGATTAGGAGGGCATGTAGTCAAGAGAGGGTGGGAGATTGGGAGAGTAAAGAGATCCATGGCTGGCCAAAGAACAGTCATAGAACAAAGACATGCCGGCGGAGTGCGGTGACTCACGCCTGTAATCCCAGTACTTTGGGAGGCCAAGGCAGGCAGATCACCTGAGGTCAGGAGTTCGAGATCAGCCTGGTCAACATGGTGAAACCCCGCCTCTACTAAAAATACAAAAAATTAGCCAGGCATGGTAGCACACACCCATAATCCCAGCTACTTGGGAGGCTGAGGTAGGAGAATCTATTGAACTTGGGAGGCAGAGGTTGCAGTGAGACAAGATCATGCCACTTCACTCCAGCCTGGGCGACAGAGTCACTCTGTCTCAAAAAATAAAAAATAAAAAGACATGCTAAGTTCCTCCCAGCCTTACCCCCTGCTTCAGCACATCCCTAATACTTGCATCTGTCAGCTGGGGTTTCCTTGCCTCTCCACGTCTAGGATTGACACAAACCTCCATGCCAGGCCAGGCGAGGTGGCTCACACCTGTAATCCCAGCACTTTGGGGGCCAAGGTGGGCAGATCGCTTGATCCTAGAAGTTCAAGACCAGTCCTGGGCAACATGGAGAAACCCCATCTCTACATAACACAAAAAAATTAGCCAGGCATGGTGCCATGCACCTGTAGTCCCAGCTACTTGAAAGGCTGAGGTGGGAGGATTACCTGAGCCCAGGAGGTCAAGTATGCTGTAAACCGTGACCGAACCACTGTACTCCAGCCCCAGTGACTGAGACCCTGTCTCAAAATAAATAAATAAATAACCAAAATAAAATTTAAAAACCTAAACCTCCACTCCACATCCTGGGTGAAGTCTAGGGTCCTCTCCAGGATTCCTTTGTCTTCCCAGCTTTATTTTGTTTTTATTTATTTATTTTATTATTATTATTACTATTATTTTTTGAGACGGAGTCTCACTTTGTCACCAGGCTGGAGTACAGTGCACGATCTCGCCTCACTGCAACCTCCGCCTCCTGGGTTCAAGTGATTCTCCTGCCTCAGCCTCCCAAGTAGCTGGGACTACATCCTGGGCGCGCCACCATGCCCAACTAATTTTTGTATTTTTAGTAGAGACAGGGTTTCACCATGTTGGCCAGGATGGTCTTGATCTCCTTGGCCTCATGATCTGCCCACCTTGGCCTCCCAAAGTGCTGGGATTACAGGTGTGAACCACAGCGCCCAGCCTATTTTATTTTTATTTTTTGAGAAGGGTCTCACTCTGTCACCCAGGTTGGAATGCAGTAGCACAATCTCAGCTCACTACAACTTCCACCCCCCAGGTTCAAATGATCCTCCTGCCTCAGTCCGTGAGTAGCTGGGATTACAGGAGCGCACCACCACGATGGCGAATTTTTGTTGTATTTTTGGTAGAGATGGGGTTTCACCATGTTGCCCAGGCTGATCTCAAACTACTGAGCTCAGGTAATCCACCCACCTCAGCCTCCCAAAGTGCTGGGATTACAAGCGTGACCCACCATACCTGGCCCCCGAGCTTTATTTTTAAGTCCCTAGCTCCAAGTCCTTGTTGCCCCTGAATTGCCTGAATATATAGTTGCTCTTGCGATGTCCCAGATGTGGAACTCAGCACTGTTCCTTGGTTCCTGCGGTCCTATTTCCCCATCACTTAAGTAAGAACTGGGGCTCAGAGGGACCAAGTTGCATGTCTGAGCTTGTACCGTGAGCTAGTGGTGGTTTCCTCTCTGGAAGGGTGCATCCTGGTTGATGCCCTGAGTGACCCTGAGTGACCCTGCTGGTGTTCTGCGCTCTGTGCCCACAGGACCCAAGGTGAGCCTCAGCCAGAAGGGATCCAGCACCACACTTTTGAAGGTAGACTCTCCCAGCCCAGTTTGGCTGCAAGGTCCCCACTGACAGAGTGGCCTTACCAGAGTGGAACTCTTTCCCATTGTCTCCACTTGGGGCTCCACTGCTCCCAGTTAGGGAGCACCGTGGGCATCTCTGCCAGCTCATCCCTTCTCTCACTGTATCACATAGTAATGACCACCCTTTGCTAGGTCTAACACATTTTTTTAATCACTCCTAATCCTCACAGTAACCCTATGACATAGGTACTGTTACTATTCCCACTTCATAGTTGAAGAAACTGAGGCACAGCGAGATTAAGCAACTTTCCTAAGGTCACACAGCTATTAACTAATAATCTGTTTATATGTCTGACTCTGACTTTCTGCTCCCTGACAATATGATCTTTGAGGGCAGCGATCAGATCTTACTCATCTTTTTGTCCGTGGTGTCTGGGGTGGGACCTAGGTCAATCAAATGTGTGTGAGTCACCGGAAAAATCTCTTGGTTGGAGGCCCCTAAAATGAAGCAAGGTATGTTGCTGCCACCTTCTGGTCAGAAGTCAGAATGACGTGCTGATGTGTTCAGTCTGCATCTATGTTGAATTCAAGACTCAAGACTCCTGGAACACTGGAATTTGGGGAATACTTCAAAATTTATTGTGACTTCTTTTTTTGTTTGTTTGCTTACAGATGATATTTATCCAAGGGGGTGTAAAATGGAGTCAGAGAAGCACTGGTATTAGGAGTTTGGAGCCCTCATTCCATTCTTTCCCTGAGTTCTAGGAGCCTCTTCTATTCCTCCAGAAGCCAAAAGACAGAGCAGGAAGACAAAATCTTTCCTCAGCTCTTCACCATTCTCTACGATGTCCACAATCTCCAGTTCCACCCTCACTGTAAAATCGCGTCTCCATCCACCTGCCTGATCTTTCAGTCAGCCACTCCTCAGCTGGAGAATGGGAAATAATGGGCTGTGCCAGCGAGCCACACTCCAAGGGCAGAGTGCTCAGTGAACCTGCTCAAAGTGTGGCCTGTGCAGCTGCCTGAGGGTTGCCCGGGCCATGAAAAGGCAGACTCCTGGGTCCCACCCAGATCTTCTGAATCTTAGAAGGGCATTGACAAATGCCCTAGTGATTTTTAAGTATTCCTGGATTAAAGTATTTTTCTTTAAATCGTCTACCTTTTACTCTTTTATTTTGAAAAAAATCAAACCCAGGATAAAGTTGAAAGAATGCTGCTATGAACACCAATATATCCTTCCCTTGGATTTACCAGTTGTCAATGTTTTGCCACAATTCCTCCGGAAGTGTTAGACATCATATTTAATCTCTGAACACTTTAGCATGTGACTCCTAAGAACAAGGACATTTTCCTACATAACCACAGTAGGATTAGCCCACTAAAGACATTTAACATTGATTTGCCTTTGTGTAAAAAAAATTGTAACTAACAAAGAAGACATTTAACACTGATATAACTATTATCTAATACACAGCCTATACTGAAATTCCCTCAATTGCCCCAATAACATTCTTTATATCTATTTCCAAGCAATCTAGGATTTGAAAATCATGAATTGTATTCAGTCATCACCTGAGCAGAAGGGTAAGGCTGGGATGAGGTTGGCATGTTTGAGGAATTGCAGAAAGGTCAGTGAGGCTGGCGCAAGGCAGATGAGGGAGGAGAGTGGGAAAGGTGAGGTTAGAGGCATGGCAAGAAGTCAAATATCATGAAGCTTTTAAAATCAGAGTAATGAGTTTATTTTAAATGCAATGAAAAGCCGGGCGCAGTGGCTCAAGCCTGTAATCCCAGCACTTTGGGAGGCCAAGACGGGCGGATCACGAGGTCAGGAGATCGAGACCATCCTGGCTAACACGGTGAAACCCCGTCTCTACTAAAAATACAAAACACTAGCCGGGCGAGGTGGCGGGCACCTGTAGTCCCAGCTACTCGGGAGGCTGAGGCAGGAGAATGGCGTGAACCTGGGAGGCGGAGCTTGCAGTGAGCTGAGATCCGGCCACTGTACTCCAGTCTGGGCGACAGAGCGAGACTCCGTCTCAAAAAAAAAAAAAAAAAAAGCAATGAAAAGCCATTGGAGGGTTTGAAACAGGGAATAACTTAATCTGATTTATGATTTTTGTTTTGTTTTGTTTTTGAGACGGAATCTCGCTGCGTCGCCAGGTTGGAGTGCAGTGGTGCGATCTTGGCTCACTGCAACCTCTACCTCCCAGGTTCAAGTGATTCTCCTGCCTCAGCCTCCCGAGTAGCTGGGACTACAGGCACCCACCACCACACCCGGCTAATGTTTTGTATTTTTAGTAGAGATGGGGTTTCACCATGTTGGTCAGAATGGTCTTGATCTCCTGACCTCGTGATCTGTCTGCCTCTGCCTCCCAAAGTGCTGGAATGACAGGCATGAGCCACCTTGCCCCACCCTGATTTAGGATTTTAAAAGGTCAATCTGAAGACAATTTCAGAGTTGGGACATTCTATAAGACTTTTCAAGAGTCCTAGACTCTTTAAAAACTTAATGTCAAAGCCAGGCACGGTGTCTCACACCTATAATCCCAGCACTTTAGGAGGCCTAGGCGGGCGCATCACCTGAGGTCGGGAGTTGGAGACCAGCCTGGTCAACATGGGGAAACCCTGTCTCTACTAAAAATACAAGAAAAAAAGAAGTTAATGTCAAAATAATAATAATAAAAAGTTTATATCATTTTTTGTTGGTGTTTTTTGGAGCTTTCATAACAAATTACCACAAACTTGGTGGCTTAGAACAACAAAAAATGTATTCTCTCACAGTTCTGAAGTCCAGAAGTCCAAAATCAAGGTGTTATTTTTTCTATTTATTTATTTATTTAAAATAGATACTGGGTCTCACTATGTTGCCCAGGCTGGTCTCAAACTCCTGGGCTCAAACAGTCCTCCTGCCTCAGCCTCCCAAAGCGCTAGAATTACAAGTATTAACCACTAGGCCCAGCTGAAATATGGCAAATATCAGCTGGGCACAGTGGCTCACGCCTGTAATCCCAGCACTTTGGGAGGCCAAGGTGGGCGGATCACCTGAGGTCAAGAATTCGAGACCAGCCTGGCCAACATGGGGAAACCTCGTCTCTACTAAACATGCAAAAATTAGCTGGGTGTGGTGGTGGGCACCTGTAGTCCCAGCTACTTTAGAGGCTAAGACAGGAGACTCGCTTGAACCCAGGAGGCGGAGGTTGCAGTGAGCTGAGATTATGTCACTGCAGTCCAGCCTGGGCAACAATGAGTGAAACTCCATTAAAAATAAAATAAAATAGGCATTTATTAAAGACAGGGGTGGGTCTCAGACCACTGCCCCCAGTAGTTCTTTTTGTTTTTTGTTGTTATTGTTGTTTTACTTTTTAAACAGCCCCCTATGGATATAGGCTACCCCATAGGCAGTGTGCCCAGAGTAGCCTTTGTTTGCGTTTTGAATTTATGTTTTTATTTTTTAACTGCTCTTTGTGGAGTGGGGAAGGAGTCCTAAGCTCTTCCTTCTCAGGGGGATGCCCCAAGATCCTCTGGGTGGGAATGAGCAGTCATCCCTTTACCCAGGAAGGAAAGGGCAGGGGGAAGTGGGGACAACCCACTTCAGGACCATGCTGGAGGTGGAGCGTGCCTGCAATCTCCTCCCCAGGTAAAGGGAGGATTTTTAGAGTAGACCACAGTCGGGGTGTCCAAGGAGGGCAGCGATCCTCCTCACCCCTGCCAACTCTGAGTACTGGGACTGTTCAAGAGGAGGTGCAGCCCTGATGTGGGCCCATCTGTTATCCCCCTCTCTCCTCCACACAACCTCTGAGCTCCTCAGCCTGGAACCCTGGAAGATTAGAGAAGGAGGAAAACTGGGATCACCAGGCACAGCCCCTCATCCCCAACCCCCTATTTCCTGCTGAAGATGCTGAAGGGGAGCAGTACTTGCAATTCTGTGAGCCGGGGAGAGATCTTACCCTGGTACATGGTTATGCCTTTTCCCAGGCAGTGACTGGAGCACATGCGTGTGCCTGACATGAGACAGGGCAGGGGCCTGTGCCCATCAGGCCAGTTGTCAGAGGCTCTTCTTCAGTCACGACACTCTGCCATCCGTCTCACCCTGCCTCTTGCAGGGAGAGGTTGGGTGACAGCTGAACAGACAAATTCACAGGGTCTGAAGCCCTACAAACTGCCCCGCCTGCCCTCTGCTTGCAGGCTATGTAGGTGTTGGTTTGACAGCTGCCACCAGGACTGAGCTTCTGGAGTCAGTGGCTCTCACACCCAGAGTGACCTGATGGGCAATGTCTGTCAGAAATTCTCTTGGCCAGGCACAGCGACTCATGCCTGTAAACCCAACATTTTGGGAGGTCAAGGCAGGAGAACTGCTTGAGCCCAGGAGCTCAGGACAAGCTTGGGCAACACAGGGAGACCCTGTCTCTACAAAAAATTTAAAAATTAGCTGGGCATGGTGGTGCACACCTGTAGTCCCAGCTACTTGGGAGGCTGAGGTGGGAGAATTGGTTGAGCCCAGGAGGTTGAGGCTGCAGTGAGCTATGATTGTGCCACTGCACGCCGGCCTGGGTGACCAGGGGAGCCCCTATCTCAGAAAACAAAAACAACAAAAGAAGAACATTCTCTCACTCTCTAGTTGGATTCTTTCTGTAGTACTCGGCTATCTGTGCTGGCCCCTGGCTGGAGGGGAGGGCAGTGGCAGAGGAGATAGAGACAGGAAAAGGGAGAGTTGAATAGGAGAGAGAGGGAAGTGGGAAATGAAGGGGGAAGAGAGGAGGGGAGAGGAGAAGGTAAATGGAGGTGACAGGTAGTGGAAAGAGGGGAGGAGGAAGAATAGAGGAAACCAATGGGCCAGAAATGGAAACTTGGGCTTTTTCTTCTCACAGGCCCCAGAGCCTCCACACGGGGAGCAACCAGTCAGCTAACCCCATTCACATCCCAGAGCCCTCAGAGTCGGGTCTGGGTCTCATCCACGTCACCCTGCACCGCTCCGTGTCTACAAGATCCTTGGTCTGAAATAGCATGGGAGGCTCTGGAAGCTGTTGCATTGCCCTGGGGTCAGGCTCATTCTGATGGCTACCTAGGAGGGGGGCATTCCTTCAGGGTGGAGCCTCCTTGCTCTTCTCTACCCCCTCACATCAGGCCACAGGCTTCACTCATAGCTGTATGTAAAAAGGAAGAAGATGAGGCCAGGCATGGTGGCTCACGCCTGTAATCCCAGCACTTTGGGAGGCTGAGGCGGGTGGATCGCCTGAGGTTGGGAGTTTGAGACCAGCCTCACCAACATGGAGAAACCCCGTCTCTACTAAAAATACAAAATTAACCAGGCAGGGTGGTAGGCGCCTGTAATCCCAGCTACTTGGGAGGCTGAGGCAGGAGAATCACTTGAACCTGGGATGCGGAGGTTGCGGTGAGCTGAGATCGCGCCATTGCACTCTAGCCTGGGCAACAAGAGCGAAACTCGGTCTCAAAAAAAAAAAAAAAAAAAAAAAAAAAAAGGAGATGGCACACTGTTTGAACTTGCAGATGTTCTATCCTTTTTTTTTTTTTTCCTTGGGACAGGGTCTTGCCCTCTCACCCAGGCTGGAGCACAGTGGCATGAACACAGCTCACTGCAGCCTTGATCTCCCAGGCTCAGTCAATCCTCCTACCTCATCATCCCGAGTAGCTGGGACTATAGGTGCGTGCCACAGCACCTGGGTAATTTTACATTTTGTGTAGAGACAGGGTCTCACTATGTTGCCAGGCTGGTCTCAAATTCCTAGCCTCAAGCAATCCTTCCTCCTCAGCCTCACAAAGTGTTGGTTTTACAGCAGAAGCCACCATGCCTGGTGTCTGTGTTCTTTGTATTGATGGTTTGAGTTTGGCAAAGGCACCTGGGAAGACTGGAAGGAAAAAGCAGATCCATTTGGTGGCCCAGGAACTACAGGTGGAAGAAGGCAACATATGAGGAAAGAAAGAGGGGACAGGATCTTCACTCGCCCAAGGCAAGGTTTGCACTGGCAAAGGGGTTCTGCAAATTCAAAAGAGCCTCCATACTTTTTGGCCTGAATGAAAGCAGGGCCTTCATATTTTTATTATTAATTATTTTACTACAAATTTCTGGCCAGGCACAGTGGCTCATACCTGTAATCCCAGCACTTTGGGAGTCTGAGGAAGGTGAATTTCT